GAATTGCTCGCTTCTCAAATGTTTATCATCTCTCCATCCACTTCTCCAAGAACTTTGGTGCCGAGACAACAAAAATCTTTTACATAGGCTTAAGGGGAGAATGGACAGAAGTAAGTGTGGGGATGAAGATGACAGATGAAAACACTAAATAAATAGATGCAGGTTGCAGAAGCTTTTGGGATTGAAGGTGCACCTCAAAATGCTTATTAACAGTTAAGATTTACGAACAGGAGTCTGTGAGATTCTGGCATAATGCTCATACTTAAGAGGACGTAACTGTTGTTTTATAATGTCTTCCCAAGCAGACCTTACTCATCATGGCATCCTTCAGTTTATCTTGAGCTGCATGACTTTAAAATTTGTGTTGGTTGGGAATTCTGGGAGAGGTTGTCTTAACATGTCAGCTAACCCCATATTCCACCCTTAAACTTCCTCTTTCTGTTTGGGTTGGATGATGAGGAGTCTGAAGAAAACCTCTTTGAAAATTACTTAGTATCCCCCCTTCCCACGTTTTTGCCTGCCTGAATCACTATTAGTCAAATACAGCACATCATAAAAGACCTGTTTTCTTCATTAAATAAACTTTCCTGCCACCTCACTGGTTGGTTATTACTGTGCCTCAAGAGGCAACTGAATGGGTGTTATTTTAAGCCTGAATATCTCCTTCCAACTGCCACTTTCATGCACTTACAAATGGATTGGCATGAAGGTGCCCCAAGGTTTCCTGTTTTTAGATAAACCAGGATTTATTTTTCTATGTTGAGCCAGGAGCTAAAGCGAAGCGTTTGAAGTAATTGTTAGTGTCTTGTCTTTTTTTTTCCCAGCCTTGTCCCTTTTGCTGTTTTCTAGCCCAGTGCCTTTCAAGCTAAGCAACCATTGGCAAGTGTTGACTCAAATTCTGCCATGTTGTGTGAAAACATTTCAGTCAAAACATCTTCACCAAGAAAGGTCCCATTCTGGCCTTGGAACGGCTGTTCTGATTTCACTGGAAATGTTCCAAGGTCAGAATAATTTGTTCTGACTCATCAGAAGTGTTATGTTCTTGAAAGGGATTTTTCTCCTGGGAAGACCAAGGTCACAATAGCTCATTTGGGCTCAGAGTATGTTCAAAATGCGATTTTTGGGGATTGCACACCCCTAATTTTAAACCTGTGCAGACAATGCAATGTGAAGGAGTGACGTGTTACGAATTTAGGAGGAAGGTTAAAAAGGGACAAGTTGCAAATTCCTCAAAAGAAGTACAAGTTATTCAGAATGAACTACATGTTTTGTAGTTTGAAAGAGTAGATAGATGTAATGACGGCTGGTGTAAATGGAGAGGGAAAATCAAATGATTGCTTTAACTTTAACTTTACCAAGATATACAAAGAGACCTCTGAAGAAATGTTCAAATTGTTTCTCTGCAGCCTCATCGACACGAAGTGACCATATGCAACTATGAAGCAGCAGCAAACCCGGCCGATCACAAACTTGATCAGATCACGCCACAGACACACTTCATTTCCTAACTGGGAAGGCTTGTTCAACGACAGAAGTCTGGGTGGACTGACGAAGGTGTTGAACATTTGAAGCTAAAAAGGATGGTGTGGCTGTTATCTTTTTGGGAGGTATGCATGTGGTTTTGGAAGCATTTGGTGTCAAATGCTTGGCAGAAAGGTACAAAATTACACTGTTGCTGAGATCAATTGTGAAAGTTGATCTTAAAATCATTAATTCTTCCTGGATGTCACCATGACTATCTTGGCAATATCTTTCTTCTTGGCCCAGAATGTTTCTAAGATGGTGAATTTTTTGTTTAGTTGCTGCTACTTTTCTTGCTGACATACATAAGGGGTGAGACTATTGGGTGGTGGCACAATCTCTAGGTCTTCCATCTCGCTTTTGAATATAGTTATGATATACAAAAATGAAATGTTCCTGGTGGGAACTTGACTAATTTCCAGTTTATGTGATTTCTCTAGCATAATAGTGACTGGGCTGTGTATCAATGTGCTACAGGCATTGCTATGAGCATAATTTAGTAGCTATCTTGCTGATGCATAACAATGTTAGTTGTTAGTTTAAAACCTAGAAAATAAAAAGATCTATGAATTTATCTTGTCTAAAATGGAACTTTTTGTAAATAAACATGCCAAAGAATCCCTTGATTACTTTTTTTTAAAATTCTGAACTGAACTTTAATGTTGAGATACATTATTAGTACAAAGTAAAGTAAAAATGGTATAAAAATAAAATTATTGTGGAATGCTCTCAAGAATAGGAACATTTTGATCTGGAGTATCTAATTTTGTTCCTTTAAAAAAATCAGATTTGTAGCCTATCAGAGCTGTCCTTTTAAGACCAACCCCTAAACTATTAAGAAAATCTATTCAAGTGAGTGGCCTTGTGATTTGTTTGGTTTCTGCCTAACATGTTGTATGAATCTAGTTCAAAGTTTTTCAACAAACTTAGTTGATAACTCTGCCCACTAAATTACCAGTATTAGTATTTCTGTTCTTGCTTTATCTCTTACTTTAGAGTGGTAACCACTTTATGATATCCTAGAACTGATTTCCAAAGTTCCCAAAATATTAACTACCTCACTTTGTATTTTTAAAAGAAATGCTTGCTGCTGTCTTCTTCGGCCAATGTTGGAAGTGGTTTATGAATATATGCTTAATTGTTTTCATTTTAAACAAAGATGAAAAATCTTCCATGCAATTGAGCCAAGAGAGATGGAAGTTTTCCTGCTACACACTTTTCTTTGGGTTGTCCATATAGAGCAGGGTTTTTCAGCCTTGGCAATTTTTAAAGACTTTAAGGAGTTAAAAGCCCACCCATCTTAAAAGTTGCCCAAGTTTTTAAAAAAACACCAATAGTGTAGAGCTTCAGAACCAAAGGCTGAACCCTACCTGCCAAACTTCATCAAGGTATTAGACAAATGCCCCCACAGGGATTACAAAGCAGGACATCCTGTTCTCCCTGCAGTGCACCAGTTATGTGGATGTTGTGATTAAGCCTGACAAACATAGCCAGTGGCGTTTCCAGTTGAATCGCAAAAATAACAATCAGCCACGCCAAACTTTGCTGTTTACCATCCAGTGATGAACACTTAAATCAAAGCCAGTTATTAAAACCCAGGATCCACTACCACAGAGGTCTTCAAATTTGGCAACTTTTAAGACTTGTGGATTCAACTCCCAGAATTCTCCAGTCAGCTATGCAGGGCTTGGACCTTCGGGTGGCTTCTGCGTGCTTGGGATTACAGTTTCCTGCAACTCTGGCGTAGAGGGTGAATGGCAGAGGATTCTGGGAGTTGCCGTTCAATAATAATAATAACAACAACAACAAGTGAAGCAAGCAGTTGAAGAAGAAAAACAAGCACTGGCTGATTATTTAAAAGAAAGTCAAGAACATCTATTAATCGAAGTAAAGAACAAAAAACTACTGAAGG